TGTTAGTGACAGCCCTGCAAATTGTAGCAGAAAAAAATTAACGAGACACTTGTATTGGTCAGACAAAAAATGATGGGAATGCTATTGAATGTTGTGCACTGTCAAGTCCAAACAATTGTATGAGTAATAATCAATAATTATTAGAGAATCAACCCAGGTTAAAAAAATGAAACCTGAATTTAATTTTAACCTGAGTGTATAATTATTTTATTGTTATACACTGTAACAAAGGTATCCGATGGGCTTCATTAATCATACATGTAACCATTTCACTTTATTACATGTAACTGTGGTTTAAGAGTGAAGGGTTGAACATGTATTCCTTCACACAAGTAAATCCAGAGTACATGCTCTTCCTGGTACTAAATGTACATTTTTGTACCAAACGTAAACTACATGTTTACATGAAAAGTAGCTATAAAAAGACCTAAAGTGTCGCAATATTGCAAAAGTTTACCTAAACTTATGTTGGGTGTAAAAAAAACTTGTACCTTCAAGTTTCAAGTTTCATCGCCGCCGAGGGACGTTTCGCTAGGAGGAACGTCTGCGACTCAGCAACAAAAATTCCATACTGATGACGTAAATCAATGTTAACATAATAAATCCGGTAGTCATGGGGTTCCAAATGCAAATTTGTTTTTTATTTTTACAATTTTATGTTTCTCCTGGTCGATTTTAGTAAAGTGCATTGTGTTCCTCTGCGAACAAGCTCCAGCAAAACTCAGATGCTTCTAGAGAAGACTATATTCCACAAATAATAATATTGGCTGTTTTGTTAGAGATTCATGACGTTTACATTTGACCTTTGCGGCCTTTTGTCTTTTGTGTGTCATTCGTAAACAATAGCTAAAACAATGAAACTACTCTGTCGACCAATTAGCTCTTCTGACCAGACTCTGGACAGATTTTCGTCATCAGTATGGAATTTCTGTTGCTGAGTCGCAGATGTTCCTCCTCGTGAAACGTCCCTCAGCGACGATGAGCGAGGAGAAACTTTTGCCATTCACAGGGTAGGATATTTCTAGAAACATACTGAAACCTAACCAAACTCACCTGAAGCCTTCGGAGTTGGGCTGTTCTTGATACAATCTTGAAATATGGCTCAGCAATATGCTGTTGTATCCTAAACAGTACCAGAATAAAAATACATGTAGGAAACCATAAAAAATGCATTATCATTAATTTGATTGTATCACACACAAACTATTAATAATAGTGTCATACAGCAAAACCATGTACATTGCACCAGATTATCATGTTTCAGTACTTCATTGCTGCATTTGTTGCTAACTTGTACGAGCCCAAAAAAAAAATAAGCAGGATTGATTGCAGGTTGTCTATAATTTAAAATCCCCAAAAAACTTCACTTGCCCGTTGGGCAAGTTCAGAACAGAATTCACTACCTTGATTGCAAAATTTACTAGCCACAGGTTATCAGGCACTACTTTCTTTGCTTACTGCTCACCACAATCTTTGCTCACTGCACACCACAAGTATAAATACAGCTTTTTCTTTTTTGTTTATCTAATAATACAAGATACCCTGCAGACTATTTTTATCAATTATTATATTTTAGTATTTTTATTTAACTTTCATAGCAAGTACCTTTCAACAGAGGCTTTCAGGGAATTTATCCTGGTTTGCATCATCTGAAGAACACCTTTTTTAAAAAAAGAAAAAAGTAACCCTCTAAGCTACCCTGAGAACACACAAATTAAGTCGCATACCAAGTGTGAGAGTTTGGTTGTAAAGACTTCAAGTTAATGTCAATTGTAACCAGGCCTGAAGACAAATAAAATACATCATTTACACACATTTTTATTGTAGCTCCTTTTGCTCTTACACTGCATGTATATAGAGAAAATTATAGAAGTGCATAGCATTTTTTTAAATGCTTTTCAAGTTATTGTTTACATTAGTTTGTAAAGATGAGCACAACCAGACTACGCGCTGTAGTTTACTTTGCCTTTTAGAACAACTTGATTTCCTAAAAGGTTGGTTGGTTGGTTAGTTGGCCTTGGGTTAAACAGAGCAGTCTGGAACTGTAGACAATTCATTCTGAGTGTGTATTGTATGAGTGTAATCCCTCCTTTACTCTTGACCTACAGATGACACTGTACATGTAACTTCATTCACATACAGTGTATACCTGCCAAGTGTCACGCCTGAGGCGTGATTGTCATGCCTGTGGATCGAAAACTTGGATTTCACGCCTACTCACGCCTGTGTTCCGATTTGTCATGCCTGGTAGAAAAGTTTGAGCCATTACAGCATTAACTGACACATTTTGAATATATTAATTATTTAAACAAACCAGAACCAAAGAGAGAAAAGAAAAGTCTATGTGGATGATCGACTTTCTCCGAATTCTCTTTTTTTAGCAGGGAAGTCAATGTTTCTTTGTGTTCCTGTGTTCGTGTTAGACGGAACTCTTCGTAACATCTTCGGAAGTCTTCAGAACATCTTTGGACATCTTCAGATATTATGGGACCCCTACGAAAAATCTTGGCACTCTTAACATAAAAAAATGCCACGCCTATAAATGTAAAAAGGTTGGCAGGTATAACAGTGTAGAGCTGTTAGCATGAACAAGTTTCATTCATCTCACATTTTGTATAGATACAGCTGCACTGAAAGTAACATTAGTTCTATCATATAGAATTGTTGCTATTTTTTCTCTCTCATGATAATTATAATTATCATGAAGATGAAGTGTCATGCCTAAGAACTAACCTTCAAGTGTTTCAATTCCAGTTGCCTGCTGTAACAAATCTTCATGATGTTCAACAACCTACATACATTGTACAAACATAGAGAATAATTTCCTAAAAATGGTAATAAGAAATTTAGACATGAAAAATTATTAATTGACATTGTACATGTATTTTTCTGCTTTTTACAAGTGTCCAGTAAAATATAAGTCAGTTGCTTTCAACAGAAAATAATGCGCAGGAAAGTTTAGAAGTCACACTGATGCTCACTTCTGTTCAAGATTGAGTGCCTGCTTGAATTTGGGTTAACTAACCGCTTCCTCAGGGTGAAAAACAGAGTCAAGTCAGGGTGCAAAGAAAATCATTTTTACAGCTTGCCTTTCGGGCAACCTGAAGCTAGCATTTACTAGCCCAGACGTCATTTCAACTAGCCCCAAAAGCTTTTCGTCGAGCAGAATTGATTTCACACTTCTTCTGTTTTTCGAATTCCTCAAAGAACATCACTTGCACGTCGGGCAAGTTAAAAACAGAATTCACTAGCCAATCCACTAGCCCCAGGCTATCAGACACTACTTTCTTTGCACGCTGCAAGTGCAGGGCTGTTAACCCCCGACATCTTCAAATATTGAGAATTGACAGGGAAGGGTTAAAAGATGATGTCATAATGCACAAAACACGACGTCATTTGGGCAAAAAAATATGTAAAAAAGATGTTGTTGGAATTGTAACATTTGTACCTGATTGGTTTACTTCTCACCAATCACATAATTGCTTATATTACAATGGTATACCAGAGTTTCTGAGGAAACGTTCAATGTTAAAAGTTAAGCTCAAACAACGCAAAACATTTGAAGTTTCATTGACAGAAAGTCGAATCTACAAGAAATAGCAAACTTTGGCAACTATCCGGGAGATTTCAGACTCTAATCTGGAGACCAGGAGAAACGGTTCAAAATCAGGAGTCTCCCAGATTTTCCAGGAGAGTTTGACAGCACTGCAAGTGTGAGGTGCTTCTCACTTTTGCATCTGTTGATGAAATTCCATGGGGTAAATGTAAAATTCAAATTAAGCCTTTTCACCACTATGGTACACTGTATGTAGTCCTAGCATTTGAGACTGTGCATGAAATTCTGTGGTGTGACGATTCAAGTGAAAATTCTTTTCCACTACAGGTTTATATTAACATGTTGCTATTAATTATATTTCACATGTAAATAAAATCTAGTCTTTGAGTCCATAGATGAAATCCCATGATAAAACCATTCAAATAACTCAAATTTTTCCAATTTCATTTTAGATAACCAGACATCTCAATGAAAACTCAAGCAGTGAAATTGCAAAAAAAAATTGATCCCTTCGAGTACATTTATAGTTTGTGCATGAACAAGGAAAACACTTTGAGACTGTGTATTCTTCATTCTTTAAGCCCAGTACAACCAGCTAGTCGCAATTTTGGACCCTGCAAATGATGATAATGATGATGATGATAATAATGATGATGATGATGATGATGATGATGATGATGATGATGATGATGATGATGATGATGATGATGATGATGGACTACTACTACTGTTACTACTACTACTAATATAACTATAACTATTACTACTAGTGTAACATGGAATATAGATATCTCCTACAAATACGTGACAACACCGTCAATATTTATGTATAGGTGTATGAGTGTGAAGAAATCCAAATCTTGAGGGTGTTGGCTAATACGCCAACTGGCTATGGCCATACAAAAAAATTGGATTCAAAAATAAAAAAATAAAAAAACCGTTTTCAGATTGCAATGAAAATCTTTTTAAGCTTCAGGGATCTTTTTGTTCCTTGTTCTGTTACAACTACATGTACCTTCACAACCGTGAACATAATTATTAAACGAAGACAACGACAAGATGGACGTCTAACCTGACTATGAAGTTCCTTATCCAACAAATTTATTCCATCTGCCAACCTGGCAAGAGCATCGCTAATGGCTCGACCTTGAATAATGTTGTTTGCATAGGTTCTGTCGTCGAATTCGTCCTCCAAAAATTGTCTGAAGGTTTCTAAAGGTATTGGAGAGATCAAGAAAAGTTTTAATACCATGAAAACGCCCGACGATCTTAATTTAAGTCTTGAAAACTACCATCATTTTGGAGAAGCTTTTCCAAGTTGGCGTCCATTTTGAATGATATCTTTTCAAGTTCATCCGCTGACCTTATAATACCGATGTAGTGTACGTGAGTGTTTACACGTGGACAAGTCACATGATTTAAAGTCACGCAAAAATCCGCAAAAATGGCGTCTGGGCGATTACAGGGCAAAGAAGTTCTCGTTACTGCTGCAGCGCAGGGAATCGGCCGTGCTGTAACTGAAGCATTTTCCCAAGAAGGAGCCAACGTAATTGCTACCGATATAAATGGCGAAAAACTGGCCGAGCTAGACGGAGTCAGAGGAGTACGAACTAAAGTTCTTGACGTGACAGACTACGATGCTGTGAAGGCTTTTGCTAAAGAAGTCACGAAGCTGGACGTGCTTTTTAACAATGCAGGGATGGTCCATAATGGTTCTATTTTGGAATGCGAGGAGAAAGGTGATCATTGTCTATTCTATCTATTGAAAGTGTCGTTTTAGTAGTCTTGTTACAGCTTTCGGACATGTAGGCGACCACCTACCCTAGTTGTTAAAAACGTTGGTCATTTTAAGGCAAAATAATTTATAAGCTTACATGTCAACTTTACGTCTACATCTATTTTGCTGGTGTTCTCAGACCAAAAAGAGAGGCAAATTACTCTGGTGTTCTCGTATCTTTCTTTGTTATCCGTGGTTGAAGTCCAGCCCTTTGGGAGATAGTGGGGGATTGTTTCAATCGGTATTGTCTCAAGGGGGATGGGGGTAGAACAGTTTGGAAATCCTCTATTAAGATCCCCCTGGACCCGTCCACACAAAGTTTTACAGTCGTGATTGATTGATACAGTCTATAATATTTATTAGTGTGTGGACATGTATACAGTGGAACCCCGCCTTATGGGCACCTCGTTATTACGGCCACTTATTTGGCTGCCTGGCAAAAACCACCATACATTTTCTTGTAAAAAAAACCCTCGTTAATACGGCCAATTTTTCTGGCCCAATGTTGGCCGTATTAATTGGGTTCTACTGTATTAATAAGGAGGGGGAGGGGGACTCGGGAAGGGACCTCGTTTATTTGAGAGGAGGGGCTTAATAAAGGATTTACAGTATACCAGTATCTCTACAGGCATTCTGGCATAAATTAACTTCTCAAAAAATGTCCCAGTCCCAGCCAGGTTAGAAACATGCACACTATAATTTTGTTGAGAAAATCATACTAAAAAATATATTGTTCTGTTGTAGACTGGGACATGTCATTTGATCTCAACGTTAAGAGTATATATCGCTTAACCAAACAGTTTCTGCCCATGATGTTATCACAAGGTGGAGGAGTGATTATAAACATGGCATCAGTGGCTTCAAGCCTCAAGGGGGTACCAAATCGTTTTGTTTACAGTGCTACCAAAGGAGCAGTCATTGGTTTGACGAAGGCCCTTGCTGCGGATTTTGCAGCAAAAGGTATCCGCTGCCACACCATCTGTCCAGCCACAGTAGACACCCCGTCTTGGAGAGAGCGAGTAAACAGCCAACCAGATCCTGAAGAAGCTATGAAAAAATTTCTGGCTCGGCAGAAAATGGGGAGAATTGGAAAGGCTGAAGAAATTGCAAAGCTAGCACTGTTTCTAGCTTCCGACGAGGCAAGTTATATGACAGGGTGTGAGTATATCATTGATGGTGGATGGATGTTGAGTTAGCTTAGAACCTTACCCATGTTTTGTATTTCTCCAATACGACGTAGAGTATAAATTTAAAAAATTTAATCCACAGACCTTAAAATCAATATACTTATAAATATATGTTTTTATTTTGTATGGGTTGATCAACAGGTTTAAATACAAACATAACTGCTTTTTTAATACAAACATAACTGCTTTTTATCTTGAACAATATTTATAAATGAATATGCATTTTTTTTGGCAAAAAAAAATTACCTTCTCCAACTATCGTTGATGAAAACCAAAAGCTGTTAGAATCAAAACTCAGTTTCAAAATAAAGTTGACTTTACAAACTTACGTCAAACCCTATTTTTTGGTGTTTGAGGAGGGGGACATTGGAGGGTAGCCAATACTGCAATATCGTAGGAAAAATTGGCAAATACCAAAATACTGTGTCAAAAATCAACAGAATACTGATACTGCATTAATTTTTTTTTATGATCAGTCAGGCTTTCTTACACGTAAAGTTGTAATCATCTTGCGTTTCTTTATCGCAAGCATGTACTTGTATGCACCAGCAATCAGCCTCAGCCGTTGTGAGAAAATGTAAGAAGACCTCGAATTGATTGGTATTATTATGTACAACCATCTAAAAGCCCGGTCAAATATTTCATCGTGGATTAACTGTCAGAAATTGTGTAATCATTTACCGCGAAGCATGAAGTCTTAGAAATATTGACCTGTATGAGCCCCAGGGGGTGGGGCTGGGGGAGCTTTAGCCCCCACACTCCCCCCCCCCCACCAAACCCCCACTTTTTCCGATGGTAATTTTTTTTTTTTATACTGAACACCCACAAACAGAGAACAGACAAACTTTGTCTTGTAGCTGTTGCCAATGAGTTTGTAGCTCTTAATGACAATCGGAAAGGCAACTTTGGCACCTTCAGAGAATCCGACTTAAAAATGTCCGGATGACACCCAACCGTTGCTTGTGCTGGGTTTAGCTTCAAAGTGTATTCATTGAAATTTTGGTCTAACGTGGGGGCCAGGTTGTAACTTGTTGTTTTAAGTGCCGATGTAATAATTACAAATTTATATTACTGTTGGCAGTTTTAGATTCAGTAATATTTTATAGCCATTTCAGAAGACTTAAATTTGAAATTTTTCCGGGGGAGCATGCACCCGGACCCACTAGTTTGCTCACGTAAGTTTGACGTGTTCGCCTTAGCCCCCCCTACTTGAAAATCCGCCCGTGGGCTGTTGCAAAGGAACAGTACCACAACGCCGTGAAGGGTCTTTTTTACCGAATGCTGTTTTTGCCAAAAGGATGAAAAACCGCATACCGCCAGGCCAGATGATACCACAATACCATACATTAAAATCAAAATTACCAAAATGCCGCTTTTTTGGGGGTTAATATATTTATTGATAATCACATTAAATAATTACATTTACAATACTACAAAAAAGCATTTTAACAGTAGACATTAACAGAGCAAAGCAAAATGGATTGTTAAATTATTACAGGGCTAAAAGAAATTAGAAAAAAGGTCAACAGGGCAATGAATAATACGGAATTAAGACAGTTAACTTAAATAAGGCGTCAGAATCCACTTTCTTTTAAGGAATTCTTTGTTGCTGATTTTTTTTGTTCTGTTTCATATTTAGCGTTGATCTTCACCCTAAATCCATAAATGTACCGCTTTGGAACAAGCTCAATACCACAATACCCTGAACCCCCATGTTTCCTTCTTTGAGGGGATGTCTAGCCCATTGCTGGCTAATTTCATCAGCTAAAAACTAACCAGAATAGTTTTTTTTTTTTCTGGCGATTTTTGCAAGCATAGCATTTCAATCCATATCCATCCTTGCTATTCGTTGCAAGGACGACAGAAAGCACTTTCAATGCCTTAATGTCGTTTCAACGAATAACAAAACTGGATCATTACTTTTGGAATTCGATTGACGCGAAAAAACGTTTAAGCTTTCTTAAAAAGGCGATTGCAAATAGCGTGTTGAAGCCCCTTTAAAACAAATCAAGGGATGAGTCTTTTGTCGTTTCCTGTGTGCACGCACTGCTGGCGGGGAGGGGGAGAGTGCTGTACTTTCATTTTTTCGTTCCTTCTTTCTTGCTCAAATTTATAGGCACGAAGCCACGCGCAAAAGCCCAGTCGTGTCACACGCGTGTTTGATACAACTGTGTGCACAACCTGACCCGTTAGGACCTGCAGTTTTATTATTGTGGCTTTCTCCCTCTGTACAGAACGCGCAGGTACCCGCACTGATTTGTGAAAGAGTTGCATGTATGCTCGTCAGGTCAGCTATTGATCAACAGGTTCTTTCTTTTCTCATTAGCATCTCATTTTCGTTAAATTTACGGTATCAATATTATACTAGTCTACTGCTGTAACTTTAAACAGCTGTTATTAAACAAAGGATCAAAGGTCTGAACGAAAAGGAAAACGCTCTGTGGAACTGGGATATAAAAAGTTGAAAATAACGCAAAACTACAGAATACAGGGCCAATTTTCGTTGTCTACATTCGTGGAGCCCTTAAAACATATACATTTCTAGTTCTTTAAAACTCTGATCTGACCTCGACTGACGAGCAACCGAGCTGCCGAGCCACTAAAATATACACTTTTCTTGTTCTCTAACCTCGACTGACGAGCCACCGAGCCACTGAAATGTAGTTATATACCTCCGTTTACTTGTTCTTTAAAACTTAAACTTACGTGACTTTATGTCTTACACTTATGGGTATTATACCTTTCTCGTTCTATTAACACTCATCTTGACCAGCGAGTCTCCGAGCCACTTTCTTGAAATTGTTGATTCTTTAACAGTCGTAGCCTCTGGGAAAGGTCAAGGGTTGATGTAGGGGTCGCCGAGATGGGCGTGGTCACCCCTTTTTCCTTGAAATTGTGTTTTATTTTTATAGAATTCTCAGAAAAATAAAAAGTGGCTGGCAAGTGGGCAGGTGTCCCGGCCACGCCTTTCTGAATTTTCTAGATCCGCCCCTGAAGGTGAAAGAGCGAAGTCTACGAAAGGTTACGAGTTATTGAACGTCTATTACAATTCCTTTGATCTCAGCGGACTCACACTACTTACCAAAGTTTACTTGGGTAAAATCGCGGATGGGAAACCTTCATGAGGGATGGAGTTAAGTTGAAAAGTGAGGGAAAGTCTGACAGTGATAAAATGTTCAGTGTCTCGGCGCGGCTCTGGCTCACGAAATAAGGGACTGAGAGACCGTAGGAATGATTTAGCTGCACGTACAGTAGAACCTCGATGTAACTAAGGGCCAAGAAACCGTTTTACTGTTAATGGGTTAAAGAAAGTCGATCGTTATCTCAAGGGCTTCGTAACATGGAGGTTCGTTTTTTTCGAGATTCCACTGTAACGAAGTTTCGTTTATCGAGGCTGATTTCTAAGTGTTTTACCGTTACTGGGGTACAGAAAATCGTTAGTCATACCGAAGGCTTCGTTATATAGAGGTTTGTTATATCAGGTTCCACTGTATTAGGAAATGGCGGAGTATGTTTATCAGAGGGTAAACACGCATACCTTGCCAACTCTCACGCATTCTACGTGAGTCTCACGCCTGCGGACTAAGGACATCGATCTCACGCATCAAGGACAATTTCTCAAACCTGACTCACAAATCCGAACAAACTGTTCTTTAACACTTGATTAATCACGAAAATTCAATTCAATTTCCACGAAAATGTTCCAATAAGAAATTGAATGATGACTTTATGTCCCAACGAAATCAGAACACGCTTAAATTGTCGTCTTTTAAATGGCTTCAGAAGTGGTCAAAGTTCGCTGGAACATGTTCGGACGTTTGTCGGAAATCTTCGGAAGTCGCTGGGACATTTTCGGAAATCCCATCCATGACAAGGCAAATATCTCACGAATTTGACTAAGAAAAAGTTGGCGGGTATACGCATATAATATCAATTACTGTACGATGGATCATGGAAATCCCCCCGTTTCTCGTTGGTCTACCTTACCTGTGTCTTTGAAGAGATGATTTGATGAAGGTGGCGTACCTGTAGAAAATGCGGAGGTTCGTAGTCACAGATCACCACAAGCTTTGTGATTTTAAAAAAACAGCCGATCCTCCGGCTTGCGAGCGATGCATTTTTGCTCCAGTCCCCTCAGTAAGGTCACATGGTCTCAAGATCATTTGGCGGGAAATTTAATATGCCATGCGGCTCTGTTTAATCACATGATTTAAGAGCAACATAACAGACGGTCAAATTGCGGATTGCGTAATTTACGATAGTATTGTAAAAACCCAAGCCGTTCTATCTTTTTTACTCGCTTGAACGATTATGATCCGATGTGAGATGTTCCGCAGATAGTTAGAGATCAGACACTGATCCACTTTAAAACGTCTGTTGTCTCACTTTGCGAGTGGGTTCCCCAGTGCACGGCCCCAGTATCACTAAAAACTTCTCATCTTAGCGAAAGAAACAGAAACTCGAGCATAGTATCGACATAGTAAATGAGCAGTTTTGCTCTAATTTGGGGCCTCTATGTAATCAAATTTCACGCTAGCTTTTCCGTGGGTTTACGCGGCAGATTACACGTTTGAGGTGGAGGGACGACACAATGACCTTGCTCCTTTTTGTAAGCACCTTTGTCTTTTAACGGCTAGTTTCATTATCATTTCATTCGGCAACGATTGCGATATGCAATCGCAATCGAATTGTTAGGGAAACTTAAAAGACCGTGATATAGTCATGAAAAACTCACTTACAGAGTTTGTGGTACTTATAATCAATCCTATAGCGTTACAGTTACGTGCGACCTTAGATACATAGTGATATTCGGGAATCTTTATGTTCTCATTGACAAAGAAAGAAAGAAAGGCTGTCGGAACTTCTGTCAAAAATAAAAACAATAAAGATCGGGATTCTATTAAGTATTTAGTAATCAAGCGAATCCAATTGAAGGAAGCAAATTCATTTCCTGTCTCGGGGCGGAGCATGCACGCATTTCAGTCATAAGAACTTTAATTTGTTGTCTT